GGATCCTAATCAGAATAAGGTATATTCCATGTTTGTATAAATATATCAAAATATACTCTACTGTCATGTAAATATGAAAATTTATAAAATAAAAGTACATGAGGATAAACCCACCAACGAATATGCAGAAACATGATGGAATTGTTATATGGAGAATATAAAGTTTAATCTTTAAAGAAAGAACAAAAGAATTTTAAAACATAAGCAAAGAATGAATAATAAGCCAATAAGAGTAGGCAGGGATTAAATTAATCAAATAAAATGATATCTGGAATTTGCTTCAAAATAATGCAGGAGGTCTGGGAAAGTAGCTCAGAGGCAGAGTGTTTGCCTAGTATGCATGAGGCCCTGTGTTCAATCCCTAGCACCAGGGGGGAAATAAAAGAAAAGGAGGGGTTAAAAGTAAAGCATGATTGACCAATAGTTGATAAATTTTTGATACTGCGGGGAAGAACATCCAAATAGAACTTTTAAAAATAGGCAATGTTAACATTTGATATTGAAAACTAAGAGGATAGGCTAACCAAAAGAAGAGTTAGCTTGGAAGATAGCTAAAGAAGTTGCCTAGAGTACAACACAAAGAGATAAAAAATTTGAAGGAAAGTCTGAGAGACGGGAATAAGAATTAAGATAGAATAAGAATTAAATGGAGTTCCAGAAGGATGGAGTAGAGGACAAAGGCTGTCTGAAGCAGTAATGGCTGAATTTTCCAGAATTGATGACAGTCACAGATTTTCAGATTTGAGAATACAAGTACCTTAAAGGGTTAATAAGGTAGCTAATTTAAAAACTCAGCAATGGGTGGGAGATGTGGATTGGATTTAATCAAGAATGTAATTGTTATAGAGGCAAATGTTTAATTTGATCTTCATGAAAAGAGAATTTCGGGATGAGGAAAAACTAGTGGGAAAATCATAGGTAACAGTATAGATTTTGGTTGAAGAATAAGATAAAGTTTGGAAATAGGAACAATGTGTATTAAGTCATGGAGGATGAAAAGTATATAAGGAGTCTGGAATAAAAGGGAAACTATGTAACTTTAGCAGATAATAATTGACACATTAAGTGACTATGTACACTCAGCACTTAATAATTTCTATCATAATTATTTACTTGTCTTTTGCACTACAAAGGGAGTAAAATTATCCACATCACAGGTGACTTCAAGCAGAGATCACATCCTTATATTCTTCATTTTATCTATCCTGCTCCTCTCTCTGTATTTCTCATCCTCCCAAAAGGCTCCAAGATTTCACATACATTTCAGCTCAAGAGTCTCCCTCACTGGACTTCTGAACTTGAAAACATATTACTGTTTCCCCAGGTAGTTGTTTTCTGTTTGTCCCTAGTGGATTCCAGTTTTTTTTTTTTTTCTACCCCATCCTATTCTGTACTTCTATAGATTAGTGTGTGACTTTGAAATTTACTGGGCTCTGATTTAAGATGAAAGACAGTGGGAGATTAGTGGGCAGAAGGAAAGGGCAATCAGGATTTTTGTTTCTCTTCCTTCATCCCTACTTTGCTGTTTTTCACAGCAGTGTATCTATGGCTGCACCTCCTGCTGGAGAGTTTCTTTTCCAAGATCCAGTCAGTCTCAGTGGATTTTTGTAATATTGCTTTTACACGTTTAGGCTAGGGTTGGACTACTGCTAGTCTTTCAATTTTTGTTCTTTGTTAGTTCCTTAACTTTCATCACGCCTCTGAAAGCAGCCAGTTTTTAAAACCCTCTTTAGTTAAATCCTTTCACTATTCAATCTGCTTGTTTCCTGGGATCTTAACTGATATATTTCCCAAGGCTGTGTTGTCCACAGAAGCCTATTGAACACTAATAAATATGACATCTGCCATGTGTATCTTTGTGAAAACATCATCATTCCTCAGCTCTTGAATTTCCTAAGCTTTGAGTAATTTTCACTATTGTAGCAACAGAAAGTTCATGTTTTGCCTCTTTTCAGTAGTGGAGGCGTACTCTCCTTTTATTAAAGTTCCCAAACTTTCTCAGTTCAGTGTTCTTGCTGTTCTAGTAGTTTTTTTCACAGTATGTCTCTAGAACAAAAGAAATACCCAATACTCCATTTATTAAGAAGTAGTTAATAAGTAGTGTTTATACACTAGATAATTAACCCCAATAGATTTTGGAAAAAAAGTATCGAGAGAAAGGAGTCTTATTTCATTCTTATATAACTGAAATTAACAAATGGGATGTCTACCTGTTGTACACTGTATTATTTCTTAAAGCCCTGAATCAAATGGTTCTTCATTTCCTCTTCTGCAGATTTTTCATATGAAGTTGCTTTTTATTATTGTGAAAACCTAGCTTAGCATAGATATGATGTCATCAAAAGGCATGTATGTAGTATTCTAATGGTGAAACTATGAATTACCTTGAGCTAGTGATTCCCATGGTGTTCAATAGATGTCAGTGTATCCTTTGAAAAATGAAAGTATTCTCTGGCTGATACCCAGAGCTTTTCAACAACCATTTAGAAACATCAGCCTTCTTTGTGCTAAATGTGTACTGTTTCCATTATTTGGGGAGTTTTTGTTTGTTCTTTGTTTTGTTTGGCTGCTGTTATTTTTTTTTAACTGCCACACATTTTTTAATTTTTTGCTTTCCTTCCTTCACTATGGGTAAAGCTGATTCAATGTCCCTTACCTTTTTCTGTTTATATTCAGGCCTTAGAGAGATAAGCCACACAGATTTCTTATTTCTCTCATACACTTTTCTCATTGATCGTAGATTCAAATACAGCAAAATGAAACACAAGCATTCATGGTCTGCCAGTACTGCCAATTAGTTAACCTAACTCAAATCGTACCACTCAGCTTTTTTTTTGGCTGGGGGGTAGTAGATTTCTTCCATCTAGAATTTCATTATTCCTGTAGTTTTCAGTTATATATGAGCATGCCCTTGCCTTTAGACCAGATCTCCTTTATCTAGGAAATTTCTACGAAAGCAGCAGTCAAACTTGCATGTTAAATTCTAAACAGTAGTAGCTGCTTCAATTCTATATCCCAGGCTAATTTACCCAAACTGCACTTGATATCAGGGGTTAAAAAGGATTGAGGATTCATGACATAGATTATGCAGTACTGAAATAAAAATTTCTAGATCACAGCCGTCCTCCCTCTTATGTTCTTAAGAGTGATTTTGACAGGGAACAATGCAAAGCAATAAAAAGTAAAGATGTTTATACCTAATTTCTCATTATAGAACTCTAGGAAATCTAGCTTAAAGTCTATCCCATCCTAAATCTGTAACATATTTCCATTTGAAGCATGGAATAAAAAGCCTGAGGAAAGAGATGAATCAATATGTTAAGTTTACCAGAATGACTAGAATAAATAACAAATGAGGTGAGAGAATCCACTTTCATCCAGGGTAAAGCATAATTTCAGAAATGTAGCAGTGTGAAAGTATGAGAATCTGTAAAAAAATACTGATGCCATCCCTAGCTTCTGTGCCACTTGTATCTGCCTGTCCATAACAAGTTTTCTTCCCTAAGGAAGAAGATAGGAGAAAGTAATCCTCTCTCTTCTCCTAGTCTAAAAATAAGTAATCTAAATTACCAGTTCCCAATATAGTTGTTCTACCATCATATTTCACAAAACAACTGTTACCAAAATAATTAAGCTTTTAACTTGAATGCAGTGTGATAGCATTAGTATCACATCTATTCTCTATACCATTTGTTAATCCTAAAGTAATAATTATTCTTCTCATTCTTTCCCTTTCATGATAAGCATCCTCTTCCATATTAATTATGAGTCAGAGGGAAGAATTGAGATAGGAAGCCCTGGGATCACATGCCATTGATATGTTGTTCTGAGTCTTTTCCTGATCGGCTATGAGTCTCTCTGAAGCATTGTGTTATGACAGATTTTTATCATGTTGCATTTTTATAAGTGTTTATCTATTCATTTGTATCAACTAGTTTTATAACTTAAGGAAAGAATTTTTATTATGTATATCAGAAACTTATGCATAGCTTCATAAATTGAAATTTGTCATATAAAAGAAGTAATTTATTACTTTGTAGACCCTAAAGAGAAAAGTATTTTTCTCTCTTTCTGGATGGTCTGCATAATCTTGAGAAAATAATGGAAGAGTCTAGTACTTCGTTATAATTAAAATGTATAGAGATTATAAGATATGTAGAGGTCAGTTTATGACTTGACTCCAACTTATAAACTACATTCTGTGTTTGCATTTAGTAATAGGTTGTAAAAACCTTAAATATGTTTCCTCCTGAAGCATTGTTTTTGATGATTATCATGTATTCTTTCCTAAGGATATGTTACATTTAACTGGTTCCTATGTTTTCAGTATTAAAGTTCTTACTACTTTGGTGTTCTTTTTTAAAACGTTATAATACATAAACATTTTAAGGCAGAAAGCATAAGCTGAATATCCCCTTTCTTCCCTACCTACTCAGGCTGCTGCACTTACTAGCCTTGCTACCAGCTAGATTTTTTTTTTGAAGATTAAATGATCTAATATTAATACTCTTAAAGTGCTTGTCACAGTGTGTGGCATATTGTAAGTGCAGAATAAATGCTATTTGCAGATCATTCCCCTGCTCAACAGTGGGAAAGAAATAAGGTTTGACATGGATTCTGTGAGGCAAGTACTGGGGTCTTTTCACAGTAGCATAGCAAGTGATACATATGAAGAGGGGAAATAAGAAAGATTGAACCTTTAAATGGGAAGACTTCTGTGGGCATTCATCTGTACTAGTGGTTCCCATATGCATTCTTTAAGTGTACTTTGGAAATACCTTACCCAGAGAATGTCTTCTTGAGTTTGTGCTTTTAAATTAAAATGTATTAGTTTATTAAAAGAATATACAATTAAGAAACATTATAGAATTTTATTTAAAATAGTGTTATCTTTGTGTTACTTTTGTTTATTGTATTTGTATCTCATTTTTTGTGATATTTTAATCAAGTGTGTGTCCAATGATGTCTTTTCTGTTTATTTATTTTTTTAATTATCCTAGTCACGTGAACTGGAAATTTCAGTTTATTGGCGTGATTGGCGATCTCTGTGTGCTGTAAAATTTCTGAGGTTAGAAGATTTTTTAGACAACCAACGGCATGGCATGTGTCTATATTTGGAACCACAGGGTACTTTATTTGCAGAGGTAATAAATGTATTTTATTAACTGTGTATAACTACAATTGAAATTATGTATAGGTAACATGATGTAGAATTGGAAAGAGTGTTAGGCTGAAAGACTAAGATGACTTGAATTCTTGACTCAGCTCTGCCACTGAATAGGTATGTGACCTTGAGAAAAATCATTTATCCTCTCTATATCTGTTTTCTCATCTAGAAAATGAGAGGATTGGACAAAATTATAGCTAAGATTCCCTTAAGCTTAAAATGCTATGAGTTTAGTGGATTTCATGAACCATAAATTCAATGCTATTTTCATGTCACCTTGAATTTTCATCACTGCAGGTTACCTTTTTTAATCCAGTCATTGAAAGAAGACCAAAACTCCAAAGACAAAAGAAAATTTTTTCAAAACAGCAAGGTAATTTCTAAGAATCAAATATAAAATGTTCTCGTGTTTTATTAAATCTTAAAAGTAATATCCATATGTAGTTTCTTTTTAGTTGTGCATTTATTTCTAGAATTTTATTACAGAACATTTTAGTTTACTATCACCCAGCTTCAGCAGTAATCAACTGATGGCCAATTTTGTTTTATTCACATCCTGTCTGTCCATACTCCTTAGTCAGATTATTTGAAGCAAACTCAGACATTAGTGAATCATCCTTAAATATTATAGTTTGGCTGGGTGTGGTGGCACATGCCTATAATCTCAGCACCTGGGGAAGCTGAGGTAGGAGGATGGCAAGTTCAGGGCCAGCCTGGGCAATTTAGCAAGACCCTGTATCAAAATGAAAATAAAGGACAAACAAACAAAAAAACCCAACTAGTTTGTGTCTAGTTAAGGTTTTAAAAAGAAGAAATTCTTTTTAAAACCTTAACTACATATGTATAACAATTTCTTACGTATTTATTTTTTAAACTGTCTTATGCTATTTTGCACTAATATTTCATAGCAAATAGTTAAAAATAATCTTTTATATCAAATTTTGTTCTTCATTAATTATAAACTGATGAATGTAAATTTTTAATTATGCCTTTTGGTAATATATAAAGAAATTACTCGTTCTGTTTTCTTTATTCACAATATGTACAGGCAAAACGTTTCTCCGAGCTCCTCAAATGAATATTAATATTGCCACATGGGGAAGGCTAGTAAGAAGAGCTATTCCTACAGTAAATCATTCTGGCACCTTCAGCCCTCAAACTCCTGTGCATGCAACAGTGCCAGTGGTTGATGTGCGTATTCCTGAGCTAGCACCTCCAGCTAGGTATGTGTCTAAGATTTTTAAGCATATCTTACACAAAATAGTTATTGGGACATTTGTACATATTGATTACCGTGGTTATTGAGAACCTCAGTTTTTTCCAAGTAGTATTTTTATTTATTTTTTTCTTTTATCATAGGTATTTATTTATTTTCATTAGCACATGTGTAACAGTGGGGTTCATTTTGACATAATTATGCATGCACTGGATATAATTTGCTTCATCTCAGGCCCTAGTAACTTCTTTGTTTTAGTCAGAGTTTCAACACTGTGACCAAAGGAAAAATTTATTTGCCTACTATCTCAGAGGTATCAGTGCATAGATAGCCAACTTCATTGTTCTGGGCCCATAGTGAAGCAGAACATTATGGTGGAAGAGCATTGCAGAGCAAAGCAGTGGCACTGATATTTATTTTTCATTTCTTCTGTATGAAATATTCAGTGTTTGTTTGTGGTTTAGTTGTTACAAGTTTTTGGTTTCTACTTGCCATAGACCATTTTTTATTTCAGCTTCAATTCTGAAGGATAGTTTTGCTGGATATAGCAATCTTGGCTGGAACTCAGTATCTTCAGGACTTAATATATATTACTATAATCCCTCCTTGTTTAGGGTCTTGACTGAAAAATCAGTAAAATTCTAATTGGTTTACCTCTAAATGTGACTGTTTTTCTCTTGTTGCTTTGAGAATTCTGTTCTTATTTTGTATATTAAGAATCTTATTTATAATGTATCTTGATAAGGACCTTTTTAAATTTTATTTAGCAGGAGCTCTAAATACTTCTTGAATTTGCATTTCCATCTCATGATTGAAATTTGGAAATTTTTCTGATATTTTTTGGGGGGATGGTACCAGGGATTAAATTCAGAGGCACTCAGCTACTGAGCCACATTCCCAATCCTATTTTGTATTTATTTAGATACAGGGTCTCACTAAGTTGCTTAGCACCTCGATTTTGCTAAGGCTGGCTTTCAATTTGTAATCCTCTTGCCTAAGCCTCCCAAGCCACTGGGATTACAGGCATGCATCACCATGCCCCGCTTCTAATAATAATGTCATTGAAAATGTTGTACATTCCTTTAGTTTGTATTTCAGTTCCTTTATGTATACCAGTGGTTCTTAGGTTAGGTCTCTTAATATTATCCCTGATTGACTAATCTGATCATGGTCTCTTACAATTTTTTCTTTGTTGTCAACTTTATTTTCAAGATTTTATACTTGGTCTTTGAGGCCTGAAATTCTGTCTTCACAGTGCTCTAATCTATTGGTGATGCTTTCAACTGAATTTTTAATTTGATTATTGAATCTTTCATTTCCAATACTTCTGTTTGGTTCTTTTTCAGAATCTCTCTTTATTGAAATGTTCTTTTACTTCCTATATATTCTCTCTCAGTTAATCCTTATATCTTCTTTTTGTTTATCAATTATTTTAATCATCAATTTCCTAAATTCTTTTTCTGGCATTTCCTCCACTGTGATGTCCATGGGGTCACTTGTGTTGTGGCCTATTTGGGGTGGCTTGTTCCCTTGATTTTTTCATATTATTAGTTTTTTTGTTCATCTTCTGGGATGATTCTCTCTTCTACTTTTATATAAAGTAGTTTTTAGTGAGCTGCTTTCTCTTGACCCAGTTCTAACTTGCTACTATGTCCAGTCTCTAATACCACATTGAGAGGAGATACTAATCCCTATTAATTACAGGCACTTCAGAACAAAAGCCTTATGCTAAGAAATCTTAAAAAAAAAAAAAAAAAAGCTTATTAATAATGTTCTTCAGCAGCTCACTAATCTGTTGTTCTTGGTCACAATTTTTAAGTAGGGTGTTTTCTTTCTGGGGTTTCAGTTATCATGCAGTTTATTTTCAGCTCTGACCCAAAGTGGTTGAACTTGTTAGTGGCATCTGTGTTCACCAAAGGGTGAACTTTCTTGGATGCCTGTGGGGTTGGGGGGGATGGGGTTGTGATCAGAACTATCCATCCAAGACGGTAGTGAAACTTTCATGTACTAGAGATAGGAGAATAGAATGTGTCATCCTATCTTCCAGGTCTTTCTAAGCTTGGAAGAGATGTCTTCAGGCTCACCAGATTTGTTGTGAATTGAATACCCCAATGTCAGCCAGGCTACTGATCCCAGCATTCAGATCACCTGTTTCAAGTGAAAGAGTTTTTCGCTCTTTTCAGCATTGTAGGCTCCATTTGCTGGTGCTGAATTACTGTTTTGATTTACTCTTGGAGAGCTATGATAGAGTGGCTTCCTCTGAACCTCCTTATTCCATTCCCCAAAGGCATAGACTCATTATGATACCTTATTCCTGTCATTCAAATTGTAAAAAGCAAAACAAATGAGAAATGCCTCCTTCCTCTATTCCACCATCTTGCCATCTCAAATAATAGTTTTAAACAAGTGCTCTGTTTACTTTTAAAATGTTCAATTGCTTTTATTAAATAAATTAGTAAATACTTTTGATTACTATTTTGGTGAATTGCTTTATCTTTTGTAAGTGATTCTACAGTAACCAAATTGGACTTTGATCTTGAGCCGGAACCTCCTCCAGCCCCACCAAGAGCTTCTTCCCTTGGAGAAATAGATGAAACTTCTGAATTAAGAGTTTTGGATACACCTGGACAGGCAAGACATTTAAGACTTTGTGTAATTCTTTTTTGCCACATGAATGCATAGTAAAAGTATCGTAGTGAATAAGTGCAATTTCAATTTAAAGTTTATCTGTGAACTATTTATACTTCTTATGAATGGACTGTTTTCAATTAAATTAGACTAAGTTGACAAGAAATTACAAAATTATTAGTGTTGGCATGCCATTGTCATTAGCTATTAAGCTAAAAAAGATAGAATAAGTTTCTTTAGCTAAAAAGGAGCATAGAAGCATGGTTGATATTTATTGTCATATTGCCTGAAATGCTGTTTATCTTCTAACTTGGTTAATAATATGCTATATACGTATTATTATAAAATTAATGCTAGGGATGTGGCGCAATGGTAGAGCACTTACCTGGCATGCATGAGGCCTTAGGTTTTTTCCCCAACACCCCCCAGCCCCGCCCGCCACACCCCCTCTCCCCTACCCTTCACTCCCCCTCCCCTCCACCCCCCACCAAAAAATAAAGAATAACCAGCTAAATTTTTCATCTCTAGTACTTGTATTGACTGTTGGAATATTTTTGTTTAACTTTATGATTACCTAATAAATCAGGGTTTTTTTTTTTTATTATTGTTGCTTTTTATTTTTATATGGGGGATTAAACCCAGGGTGCTTAAACACTGGGCCAGCCCTTTTTTATTTTTTTATTTTGAGGCAAGTTCTCACTAAGTTGCTGAGGCTGGCTTTGAACTTGTAATCCTCTTGCCTTAGCCTCCCAAGCTGCTGGATAAATAAGTTGTGTTTTGTTTTATTATTTTCATGGTTTAACAAGTATTTAATATCTTATAGGACTCAGAAACAATTTTTGATATTGAGAATGACAGGAATAGTATTCTTCCCAAATCCCAGTCTGACTATGAGCCTGATATTCAAGACTCAAGCCTAGGATATAGTGGTCGAGAACTTGAGGATAGAAGGTAAAGAACATATACGTGTATATATAGTGTTTTGCTACTACATATTGATATCATATTTTATTGCCTTGTATTTAATTGAAATTACTATTTTCAGATCTGAGCAAAGGTTTCAGTTTAATCTACAAGATTTCAGATGTTGCGCTGTCTTGGGAAGAGGACATTTTGGGAAGGTAAGCATTTGAAGGTTCGTGGATACCTATAAAATTAAGAACTAAAATGGGAAATAATTATTTTAATCTCATTTCAGGTGCTTTTGGCAGAATATAAACACACAAATGAGATGTTTGCTATAAAAGCCTTAAAGAAGGGAGACATTGTAGCTCGAGACGAAGTAGACAGGTTAGTTTTTAAAAAATGAAATTGTTTTCCTGAAAGTTGTATTTTAAGAGAATGGATGAAATAGGAAAACTTTCTAATTTTGTCATAATATGTGAAGAAATTAGTGTATTTATGTTTGGCATAAGGTACATTTCTAGCCAATTCCTTTTTTTCCCTTCTTATGACAACTGATAAGTGGATACCAAGGAAAGATAGTGAAACGTTTAAACTAATTATGTTAAGGGTTTTGTAAATGGAGATGTTAAAGTATTTATATGAAATTTTTTAAAAAGAGTTTAATAAATGTAAACTATTGTGGATATATTTTTTTATATTTTATAGTTGTAAATTGACACAAGACCTTTATTTTATTTATTTATATGTGGTACTGAGGATCCAACCCAGTGCCTCACATGTACTAGACAATCACTCTACCACTGAATTCCAATCCTAGCCCAGATATATCTTTTTATACATTTCTTAAAATGCAAGGACTTTGAGGATAAAAATTATAATTAGGTTAAAGAATATACTTTAAATGATTCTCTTAATTGAATATGGAATATTATTGTGTAAAAATGACATTTATCACAGAGGCTTTCATTTGACATTTACTAACATTTTTTCTGTCACTAGTAGAGAGCATCTAATGATTTTAATGGAAAAGAGTCCTATATAATGAAAAGAACCCTGATCTATGAGTTAACAAGGATGTCTTTTCTAGTCCTGATTGTTTTTCCTTAGTAATGATTTGACTCCAGAGGATTTCACTGAACATTTTTGAGCCTCAGCCAGCCCCCATATATTTAAAAAATATGTAATTTTTATAACATTTGCCTTACTGAATTTAATTGCTACTTTTAATGTTTTTCCCATCATATAAGTAGTTCTTAGAATTAGGACAGGTCTTAAACACTTGCAATGTTTTCTTTATGAAAAAAATCATCTTTTCTTTTTAAGTTTACCTGTTTATTTTTTTACTCTCTCATTCTCCTCAGTTACATCCAAATAAATACTTTCTTGATACTTAGGAGGAGTACTCATGATTTTGCTGACTATAAAATATTGAGTACCATATTACATCTTTAGATCTGTGTTTTTATATTGTATAAGCAGATGATTAAAACAAATCTTTGATATGCTGTTTATACTTGAAAAATAACAGAAGAGTCAAATGTTTTTCTTTCCTAGAATAGAATAGTAATTGCTGTCGTGTTCCTCATGACTAAAACACTCAGGGTCACTCCAGGGGAACTGGGCTGCACAAAATAAACACACAAGAGACAGAAATACCTTTTTCTTATGAAAAAAATAAATTTTTTTTTCTTGTAATGGGGATTGAACGTCAGGATGCTATACTACCAAGCCACAACTCTAGCTCTTTTTATTTTTTATTTTTAGACAAGGTCATGCTAAAAAACTTGGAATCCTCCTTCCTCAGCCTCCTGAGTTACTGGTTTATCAATATATCCCACCATAATTGGAAAAACACAATAAATTTTTTGTTAGACATGGGTCCCATCTCCAAGATACTTCATTAGGTATTTGCAAATACTCAAATATTCCAAAATGGAAACACCACTCCCAAGTATTTCAGATAATGGGTACTCAACCTATACTACTTAATCCTGGTGGTTTATGGAGATTTTTGCTATATTGTTACTACTTTGAACCAAGTCATTGTAGGAAAACATAATCCTGAAATTTTAGCCTTATTATAAATAATGATGTGGTTTTCCACTAACTAAAATATGTATTCAAGTTTGTAGCATATCTGATAATGTGTTGAACTCCAAAGGAAGTACACCAGAATGGATAGAATTAAACTAGTCACTTCAGAAAACAAGTACAGATAAGTTTTGTAAATTAAAGAGGCTCCATATGTTTGAGTTCAAAATAAGCAATAGAGACAACAGCAACTCATAAGATGGAGGACATCATGGTATACTGATGGATTTAGATAAGGGGTTATTTTTTAATTTTTTTTAACATATTTTAGGTAGTATTTTATAAAGGAAATTGAATTTGTGTTCTATGAGAGATGAAAGATTAAGTTTAAAGCTTTGAATAAGGTTGGATTATTGTATAGACTTTAAGGAGAATACACAATTTAGTAGTGTTGGGACAGGTTAAAGATTTTTGTGTAAATAGCTTTTAGGTTTGGTTTTGGTTTTGGTTTTGGTACTGGGGATTGAACCCAGGAATGCTTAACCACTGAGCTATACTCCCAGCCCTTTTTATTTTTTATTTTGAGACAGGGTCTCACTGAGTTGCTGAGGCTAGCCTCAGTCTTATGATCCTCCTTCCTCAGACTTCTGAGTCCATGGGATTACTGGTATGCACCACCATGCCCAGCTACAATAGCTTTTTTTGTGTGTGATGTAAATGCCTAAAATTAAAAGTATTGTGACAACTGGGGTCTTTACAGTGTCTAATTCTATTTGATTGTCCTATGACATCTATCTAGTCCTTGTCACTATTGTCAGTCATTGTCAGAGGATTCCTTTAAATGCTTTAAAATCACTCTCAGCAATAATCCAATCAATGATTCTCAATCTTCTATACCTCTTACATGTTCAGCACAGGTGTAACATAATGATCATCTAATTGAGAATTAGTGAATTAGATGAGTCACCCATAAAATCACTCCTAATTAATTATGATTTACTCATAAATATAAAAACACAGACAATGAAGAGCCTGTGCTTGCTGGGCTCAGTGGTGCACACCTGTAATCCCAGAGGCTAGGGAGGCTGAGGCAAGAGAATCACAAGTTCAACATCAGCCTCAGCAACTGCAAGGCCCTAAGCAACTCAGTGAGACCCTGTCTCTAAATAAAATACAAAATAGGACTGGGGATGTGTGGCTCAGTGGTTGAGTACCCCTGGGGGGCGGGGGGAAGAACCTGTGCTTGTCATGTGATAAAACTCTTACTAATTTCATTGGATTTTTTTTTTTTTAACATTTACTCAAAATTTAGGTTGACTTAATAAGGCTGATGGTTTAGAATTGATCTTCTAGATCTTGCCCATCACAGATTTAGGACATTTTTCGGTAAATTTAAGTGATGACAAAAATCAAAGCTTATAACTTTAATTTTTTTTTTTTTTTTTTTTTTTTTTTTTTAGTGAATTTAGCCTTACATGGTAGTAACATTTAGAAACTTTCCCAAATTAAAAAAAAAAAAAACGTTATGTAGACATAAGCCTTAAACTTAAAAACAATAACACTGTAGCTTTCTGAGTATGTACAAATATAAACATAGAATTCATGGAATCAAAGGTTAGGAGTTCATCTAGAATGTGATAGTATTAAATGGAGTTTAAACATTTTATCATAATAGCTGCATTTAGTGTCAGTATCTAAAACAATTATCAGATGTTTTCTTCATGATCCAGTAGAATCCATATTACCATAACATTAAGAATACTAGACCTCCTAAATGAGATATAATTCATTTTTGTTGTTGTTGTTGTTCATTTGTTAAAAAATTAATCCTTTCTTAAAAGACTCAAAAAGGAGGAGAGTGGTACTATATATTTCCTTCTAAAATCAGGAATTTAGTTTGGCTTTTTTTTTTTTAATTTAAAAATAAAAGCATTAAAATAAAGCTTATAAAAAACATACCTGAATATCAGTTTTTGGTTCCAGTTTCACAAATAGAAACAGAAAAAGTACCTATTTTATTATATTAGAAACATACTTTTATAACCTAATTGCTAATAAAGTATATATCTTGATCTTTATTTTGATCAGGTACCAAAAATAAATTTAAATTTTACTTTAATAACTTTAGACCTAGTTTTCTTCTACTTTGAGTTATAAATCAAATTGATTTACCAAATATTTCAGAAGAAGGAAGAATTTTTTGTTATTGGCAAAATTATTATTTTATATCAATAGTTTTGACCATTGTTCTTTTTTTAAAATGTATTTAGTTATATATGGGTACAGTACCTTTATTTATTTTAATGTGGTGCTGAGCATCAAACCAAGTGCCCCACATGTGCTAGGCAAGTGCTCTTCCATTGAGGTACAACTCCAGCCCACCATTGTTCTTTTTAATAACTTGTCTTTGGCCGGGCACATTGGCACATGCCTATAATACCAGCTGAGGTAGTAAGTTAGAGGCCAGCTTCAGAAACTTAACAGGACCCTGTCTCAGCTTGGCATGGTGATCATGCCTGTAATCCCAGTGACTTGGGAGGCTAAGTAAGGAGCCTCAGCCTCAGCAACTGCAGGTGCTAAGCAGTTCAGTGAGATCCTGTCTCTAAATAAAATACAAAACAGGACTGGGGATGTGGCTCAGTGATTGAGTGCCCAAGTTCAGTCCCTGGTACCAACCACTACCACCACCACTATTACCACTCCGCCCAAAAAAAGAAAAAAGACCCTATCTCTATATAAAGAAGCTTTGGTATATTTCAGTGGTAGAGCGCCCTGAAGTTCAATCCCCAGTACCATTTTTTAAAAAGAGAGAAAAAAAGACTCACAGTGTAAGTGTTTGATTGCTATAGATTTTTCTGTAGTATAATGGAAAAATTACATTGTTCTCATGAAACTTCCTTGAAGTGTGTTGTAGAGTTCTCCATGTAGCTTATTTATTTTCCATTTGGTCTTCTAGCTTAATTTTTTATGCAGCATATGTATATCTTTCAACTCTATTTTATGTGATAAAAATTTGAATAACATGTCTTATGAATTATAAATACTGCTTTTGAAATTGCCTTGGTTACAAACCTAAAATTTTAAAAAATATGTTTCAGTTTACTAAATTCTCTGACCTATTCCTGATGAATTCTCATAATTAGCCCCTAATTGAGCCTTTTTAAAAAATAGAATCAATGGGCTGGGGATGTGGCTCAAGTGGTAGTGCACTCGCCTGGTATGCGCGGGGCGCTGGGTTCGATCCTCAGCACCACATAAAATAAAAATGAAGATGTTGTGTCCACCGAAATATGAAAAATAAATATTTAAAAAAAATCCTCTCTCCCTCTCTCTCTCTCTCTCTTCTCTTAAAAAACAAATAGAATCAGTAGCCATATGGATATTATTCTGATACCATCAGTGTAAACACTACAGTCATATCATGTTAACCATATTTTAGTTTTCACAAAAGTTATGTGTATATCTAGAAGAATAGCTTTCATAGCATATATAACAAAATATACATTTTATGATGTTAAAGTTAAGATGTTAAAAATGTGCTTATTTTAAGGCTTAGTAATATTTTTAATTGTTATTTCCAACTAGAATATTTCTAAGACTATTTATTTTCAAATGTTTTCTCTTACAGCCTGATGTGTGAAAAAAGAATTTTTGAAACTGTGAATAGTGTAAGGCATCCCTTTTTGGTGAATCTTTTTGCATGTTTCCAAACCAAAGAGCATGTTTGCTTTGTAATGGAATATGCTGCCGGTGGGGACCTAATGATGCACATTCATACTGATGTCTTTTCTGAACCAAGAGCTGTGTGAGTATGCTTTAGACATTTGTCTGAGTTTTTCCATGACTGGTTTCTTGCTGGAAAGAAAGCTCTCTGAATAGATTCTTATAAGAAATATTTGAATTCTTTACTTATCTTTTTGCCAGATAATTTTTGCATTTGTTTATTGTATTGTCCATGTTGAAAATGTCATGATTTCCTAAATCACACTTGATAATTTAGACATGCAGTTTAGGTTCATTTTAGTAAATGAATTTGTTTTCTTTTTTGCTATTAGATTTTCTCCCTAGGGAAAAAATCTGGACCATGATTTTAAAGACAAATTATACTTAAAGTACATTAAGTTTTAAAAAATACTGTATATTCATATAAAATATTTGTATTTGCATTTTATGGGATAATTTAAAAGAATCTGTATCAAGTACTTGCTCATATATTTGTATAAAATATTTATATTTGCATTTTTACAGGATAATTTAAAAGTATCTATATTAAGTACTTGCTTGCTTGTGCTTAATAATATCTCTGAAGGAGTATAAAGAGAAACCAAAATAGGTTGAGTATCACTTATTTGAAATGCTTGGACCAGGAGTTAGAGTTTGAAGTTTTTCAGATTTTGAGATATTTGCATAGTTAAATTATCTAGTTAAGTATACCTAATCCAGCACTCTGAAATTCTTTAAAATCCAAAACTTGGAGTATCATGTGGTATTCAAAGTGTTTCAGATTTAAGATTTTCAGGTTAGGGATACCCAACTTGTATATATATTGCCCCCAAGGAAAGTACTCTTAACAGCAACTACTCTGCATGCTGATATTCACCAAGTTTATATCTCTAGCCCTGATTTCTTCTTTTAACATTCCAACTCTAATAGTATTCTTTTCCATTTGTAAGGCTAATAAGCATCTTATTTAGTATTTCAAATTGAACACTAGATTTTTCCTTCTACCTTACCTGCTATTCCCCAGGCCTACTGCTCTTCAACATTAAAACCATTAGAAACTTAAATCAATTCTATCTCTGAAATACACCCAAATAATAAAACTTGATTTCTATAGTACCTTTATTGGTTTTACTCTTGAATTTTTATCTTGCATCTGTGTTCTGATAAAATAGCAACAGACATTTGTATTACACTTTAACTCCTTATTTGAATCTCATCACAACCATTAGATGTATGTAGAACAGACAGTAAGTAGCCTTCAAGCTTCAAATGAGAAAATAGGGATTAGTTCTGATAGGTATTGAAGCAGTCCAAAAAGAGCAAAAGTCAGGAAGTATTAGAAATATTAGAAAACTAATATTCCCTGGATATTTTAAAATTTAAAGCAGAGCATTTAGACCACACCTAGCTTTGTGCCAACTGCCATTGGTATTTGTTCTATTTTTCCTTTATTTATTTATGACATCGGAATTTATTTTTGTTTTTAAAAGAAATAAAAATACAATTCTGCCTTAGAAAATTTTTATTTTTGTGGAGAATACAGACCAAATACAAATGAAACTATTAGGCTGAGTGAAATATAAGAATAAACTGCTACATTGTAATACTCCCAAATCAAGTAAGGTTTCTCTGATCACTAAGGTCCCAGCTCAGATGTTTTTTCTTTGAAGGCCCTTTACTGACTACACAGCTTAAAAATCACCATATCACTAACCTTGAAGTAGGTCACTCTATCCTATTTTCTATTTTATTGTCATATTACTTTAGTTCTACTTGAAATCATCTAATTCTTTTTTAACATGTTTACTGTTTGACTTCCCTCACTAGAAGGAAGGAACAGGAACCATGTCTGTCTTGTTTACTAGTGAAACAACTGAAAGAGTTCTGGGACATACTAGGCAACCTGTATTTTTAATGACAGAAGCTGTGGAATCAGAATAGTTTGATTCCTAGCTTTGCTGTTTCTTAGCACTATGATTTTAGACAAATTAGGTTTTTTGTCTGAGTTTCATTTTCTACTTCTTTAAATTTTTTATTGTAAAGCTTGACTTGAAGATTAAAATAACAAAATACTTATTATAGTAAGCATTCAGTGAAATATGTTAGAGTACCCATTTATTTCATAAGTTGATAATAATTAGAGCAGTCTGCTTACAAAGAAACAGAGAACTCAGAAGTATTGTAATTATCACAATATTGTTTTGCTACCAAAACTGTGCTAAAAAAGTCTATCTTAAGATGTTTTAAAATCACGTTTATTTTAACAAAATTCAGATAAATCCTTTAAACTGATAAGTTATTATATAAGGTCTAATGTATAATCAAATATATATCTCTTTTTCTTTTTTTAATATAGTTTTTAGTTGTTGATGGACCTTTATTTTATTCATTTATTTTTATATGAGGTGCTGAATTGAACCCTGTGAGGCAAACGCTCTACCACAACCACAACCCCAGCTCAAATGAAATATATATTTCTAAATGTATTTTAAAAATCCCTCCAAATTATGGAGCCATTTTCAAAGAAATAACATACAACATACTTATATTATCTACATGTGACTAAGTGTATTCCTAAGAAGAATATTCACCAAAATGACAAGAGTAATTATTTCTTTGTATGGCAGTAGAGTTGGGATGATATGGATAGATAGATGAATTAAATATTGTACTGGGGGGGACAGTTTGTATTTTATGAAGAAAATATTCATAATTGTTACCTGTGTATTAAGAACTAGTTTTCCTGGCTGGGATTGTAGCTCAGTGTTAGAGCACTTGCCTAATGTGTAAGGCACTGGGTTCAATCCTCAGCACCACATATAAATAAATAAAATATAAAGATCTATCAACAACTAAAAAAAAAATATTTAAAAAAAAATTTAAAAGAACTAGTTTTCCTAAGTGTTTCTTCTATATATTTGTATTTTTAAATTTATGAATTAATTATTCTCTCCATTCCCACTAAAGTTGACATATCCAAAGCCAAACTCATTTTCCCCACAAAACTTGGGCTACTACTGTATTTCTTTATCTATTCATTCCACCAAGATGAAAACCTTGAGAGTCATCTTTAACTCTTCCCACTCCTTCATCCTATAGTTAATGAGATACTATGTCCTGTCATATTTGGTTTTTTTTTTTTTTTTAGTTTCACTCGAATCCATCTTAAGCTCTTGTCATTACATTGGATGTTCTTATCTTTTATTTGCATGTTTATAAAAGCCATCTATCAGAAAAATTTCCCTAACCATAGATAGAATCATTCTACCCTAACTCAAATGGTTTGATTCCCTATTACTAAGAAAACAAACTTCAGTAATCATAATATGACACTCAAGATCCTTCACCAAGGCTGCTTTTTCACACCCCTATTCCTTTTTCCCACTTGGGGAAATGCCATATATTTCCCCCACAAAACTGGTCCTTGTACTCTGTCCTCACCACACATTGTAGTTCCTCCTATAGAACCAGATCACATGTCCCATATGGGGTCCTCAGTGACTACCAGGCAAGGTTAAGGACTCTGTTATGAAGACTGTACTTTTCTTAGTTTTAAATTTTACTCCTAATATCTAGTACAATATGTTATACATAGTAAGAACTAGATAAATGTTTGTGGAATTAACTACAGAGTTGTGCTTGAAAGCATAAGAATATAAACTGGAATTCAAAACCATTGAAGTTTATTAAACTTTCTATTTAATTATTTGAACAGATTTTATGCTGCATGTGTAGTTCTTGGGTTGCAGTATTTACATGAACACAAAATTGTTTATAGGTAAGTAATGTTTTTATTCTAATAGCTTACTTTGGTATGAATTAGCATTTAAGATGATCGATAAAGGTAGTTTATATTAATTGACTTCTAAATTTTTTATTCATGCAGTAAGTGAGTTCTAAAATAGTGAATCCCAACCTGTTTTATTTCCTCATTTTTTTTTATTGGTGCATTGTAGTTGTACATAATGATAGGATTTATCATTACATATCTCATGCACACCCAGTATCACTCCCCAGTATTTCCCCTCTCCTGCCCTGCCATTCGCCATTTGGTCCATTTTCTCTACTGGTCTCCCTTTGATTTTTAGGAACGTTAGGTGATTTTTCTCCTCCTTGTTTTCCTTTTTCCTTTCTAGCTTCTGATTATGAGAGAAAACAAAGGACCCTTAACCTTCTGTGTTAGACTTATTATTTCACTTAACATGCGAGTCTCTAGTTACATCCATTTTCCTGCAAATGTCATAGTTTCTTTTTTTCTTTATGGCTTAATAAGACTCCATAGTGTATACATACCACATTTTCTTTATCCATTCATCCATTGTTAGACGTCTACACTGTTTCCATTGTTTGGCTGTTGTGAATTGTGCTGCTGTAAACATGGGTGTGCATGTATCACTGTAGTAATATCCCTTTAATTATTCAGGGTAAATACTGAAAAGTAATATAGCTGAGTAATCTGGTGACTCCATGCCTTTTCTTTTGAGGAGTATCTATATTAATGAAACCCCAACTTTGAAAGATATTGTCCACACAATAATTACACAATGAACTTCTTGGTTCCTGCTCCTCTGCCCATTTCCTAATTAAAATAGTTAAATTATGAGTTGGCCTATGATAGCACAGTTTAAAATATTCATCCTAGTGAACATTTTGCATTTGACTGATCCACTACAGAAAACCTCTGTAGACCAGTACTACTCAAAATGTATTCACAGTGAGATAACTAGTTGTGCCAGGGTACAAGCCACTGCTTTTTTCATTAAAAGAAGTCTTAGGGGCTAGAGTGGAGTTAAGTGGTAGAATGCTGCCTAGCAAGTGCAAGGCCCTGGGTTTGATATTTAGCACCACAAAAAAAGATTTTCTGTCATCTGAACTAAACAGTGTGTTAGTAACACAGCCAGTTTATGTCTGGCACAATCTCTTATCAGATTTTAGACCAGTAATTAATATTGATGGTAGCCCACCAGCTAGTCTGTGGGCCATACACCAGACATATTATTGGATTGAAAAACCCTGCTCAAAATTCAAGGGATTACATTACTCATTCTAGGAGAAAATATAAGTAAGCCTGAAGAAAAAAAGAATAAAAATTATTTAAATAGAAAAGAAAGACACTGCTTACACCCAAGTAAATTAAGGGAAGGCCAGTCAGAAACAAGATGATAAACTGGTTTATTCAAATTCTAACAGTGTTTTCAGGGGTAAGGACTTCCTCATGATCTATTTTACTTAAAGGATAAAATATTTTTAACTAGCTTAGTTTGTATAATAAATTAGCTTTCTCTATATTGTGAACTATCCTCTTAGAAGGTTGAACTTTTCCCCAAACCTGCCCACCTTATTTATACTGTTGCCTTAATTCTTTCTTATGATGGATAAAGGTGTATTTCAAATTTGGACTAAGTCAAATTATCACAAATAAAAAGTTAATAAAGCCTGAGTTAGAAAGCACTTGAGCCCTTTTCACATTTTATATACTTAAAAAAGATAAAATATTCCTTACTTTCTTCCATTTCTACATAAAAGGAAAAAAAGTATATTATATAAAGCAGTAAAGCTTGACAAAAAGAAAAAAATACACATTTTTGGTATAGTATTTAACTCTCTAATTATAACTTGAAAACCTGATCTTAGAAAAAAATGGGACTCCTATTGAAATAATTGTTTTACTATGATATCTAATGATTTTCCTTATTTTTTTCATTTTTTAATTTTCATCCTGAACAGAGATTTGAAATTGGATAACTTATTGTTAGATACAGAAGGCTTTGTGAAAATTGCTGATTTTGGTCTTTGCAAAGAAGGTAATTGGGTTTTAAAATTTCTTTTCTAATAGATTATCTCTCTTTTGTACTTTAGTAATTTTCCAAGTTTCTTTGAAAAACAAAATGTATTTTTAATTTTAAAATTTTTTATTATTTATTTTAATTTAAAAATTCTTATTGTGAATTGCTCATGTAACCTCATGACTTTAAGCAAATATTAAGCATTAAGCTGTTCATTCTGTTGGAACTCTGCAGAGTGAAATACGTAGTCCTAATTACCTCTGCACCTTTTGAGAACTATTAACATTTTAAATAGAAAAAATACTTCGAGCTGGGTGTGGTAGAGCACTCCTCTAACTCCAGCAGCTTGGGAGGCGGAGGCAAGAGGATTATGAGTTCAGAGCCAGCCTCAGCAACAGTGAGGCCCTAAGCAACTCACTGAGACCTTGTCTCTAAATAAAATACAAAATAGGACTGGGGACTGAACTCAGGCACTGAGTTCAGTCCCCAGTACTCACCTACTAGCTCCCCCCCCAAAGAAAAAGAGAAAAATACTTGGAGATATATAGCTATCCTGAGACAGGAGATCACAAGTTCAAAGCCAGCCTCGGCACCTTAGCACAAGACTCTCTCTCAAAATAAAAAATTGAAAGAACTGGGAATGTGGCTCAGTGGTTAAGCACCCCTGTGATCAATCCCTGGGACCAATAAACAAACAAGTAACATGGATGTAGTCCTTTCTACTTAGGAGTGCTGTTAGGGTATGGGGCATGCTACCCAACATGTTATAAATAGGTATTCTTGACAGTTAATATATTGCATAGTAGCTGACATTGTCCGTCTTCCCCTGTACACTAGCAGCTTCTTGTTTCTTATTCAACTTTATTTTCATAGCATGTAACATAGTACTTGGCACATCTTATATTCAGTGAATGTTCAATTAATTAATTCAATTAATGAATACACTTTGTTGCCCATCATATACTAACAGACCTCCTAACTATGGATTCAGTAAGTTTTTTCTCTAATTGTATCTGTGAAACCGATACTATTGGCTTAAATACTTTTGTATTTAAAAATCTGGTTGGTTGCTTGCTTGTCTTGTTTTTGTGTTGTTTGGTACTGGGAATTGAACCCAGAGGTACTTAACCACTAAGCCACATCCCTAGCCTGTTTTTATACTTTATTTAGAGACAGGGTCTTGCTGAGTTACTTAGGATCTTGATAAGTTGCTGAGGCTGGCTTTGAACTTGTGGTCCTCCTGCCTCAGAACTCCCAAGCCACTGGGATTACAGGCATGTACCACTGCGCCCCACTCAAGATCTCTTCTTAACCCACTTTTCTTCACTAATTTTTATCATGAAATCCCATGTACTATTACATTTTCCTTTATACCAATCTTTAACCATTTTTTAAATAAAACTCTTTTGAGTGTCTAAGTTTGATCACCATGTACAGCAAATTTAATTGCCCTACAAGTATATCTTCTAATTTTTATGTTAGGTTTTTTTTCTTCCCTTGCTAACAAATAATATAAAATTTATCTTTTTCAGGAATGGGATATGGAGATAGAACAAGCACATTTTGTGGCACCCCTGAATTTCTTGCCCCAGAAGTATTAACAGAGACATCCTATACCAGGGCTGTAGATTGGTGGGGCCTTGGTGTACTTATATATGAAATGCTCGTTGGGGAGGTAAGCAACAGGCCTGAGAGGAGAGGAAAAATGATTGAGAGAACAAATCATGTCACATATAAAACCAGCTAACATAGCTCCTATATAAGTGGAACTTAAGTTTTATGAGTATTTATAGGATGCTAATAATCAGCTATATTTCTATACTACTTCACTAGTATATTTTCTATTTTTATGTAATCTGTGGAATGTATTGCCAGTATTTCCAACTATTTGAAAATAGTTTCTTATATTTAGGTATTGTGCTATGGTTATGGCTTATGATCTTAAGGCAAACATGTACAACTGATCATTTCATAGGGAATAAAATAGCAGGAAGACTAGTAGAAAGAATATACTTTCTACATACGGAGGAAAGTCAGCTATACATTGGTCAAAAAAAAGTGTTACCTTCAAAAATTGTGGAGAGCTGAGTGTAGTGGTGTACACCTGTAATTCCAGTGACTTTGAGGGATTGCAAATTCAAGGTCAGCCCTCAGCAACTTAAGTCCTGTCTCAAAATTAAAAACAAAATAGAAAGACTGGGGATGTACATCAATGGTAAAGCACCCCTAGATTCAATCCCAGCACTCCAAATGTGGAACACAGATGAAAAGATTAACATTTTACCCCCTGTTTTCTGTAGATTAATTTAAAATAAATTTCTGAGGATACCTGAGTTGTACATTTATCATTTAAGAAATTAAGTTATATGAAGTAAATAAAGGTAATAATTGTCTATTGTGTTATAAAATTATTAGGAATAATAAAATGGAGGTAAATTTTTAAAAAGAGTAAGATATTTTTTGTTTGTTAGCTCTTTACTGGGGATTTAACCCAGGAGTTCTTTACCACTGCGCACCATCCCTAGAACTTGTTTATGTTTATTCTGAGACAGAGTCTCACCTAAGTTGTTTAAAACTTTGCTAAATTGTGGAGGCTGAACTTGAATTTGTTGTCCTCTTGTCTCAGCCTCATAAGTTGCTAGGATTATAGGCCTGCACTACCTTACCTAGTAGGAAAGAATAAATATTTTGACAAGTAATTGAAAACTACCATAGAGGGATTTGATCTGGAAATGCAAGAAAATTTATTTTATGGAATTGATTCTAAGTTTTAAACAACCTTCCTCATACAGTCAAGGGCTGAATAGGTTTGCAACTGAGTAATGAATGAACAAATTATTGAATGTTGGAAATTTTTATAGTTTTGGTCTGAGCTCATCACTTACTGGCATTTATACTGAACAAACGAGTAAATGAGTTTGTCCAACTGTCTAAGCTCCATTTGGTATGACAAATTGCAGTGAATTTTCTGCAAGGGGAAGAAATGGACAATTAAAATAACAATTATCACATGCTAGGAACTATGCAATGTGTTTTATAAATTAGTCCATTTAATGTCACAGCATCCTATAGTAAGCTCCAAAGTGGTCTATGCCCTTTTCCAGATGTATAATTGGAAACACAAAGACGTTAAAAAAAAGTCACACAGCTCTTGTGTGGAGGAACTGGAATTTTTAACTCACTTTGGCTGTAGAACCTGTTTATAAACCATTTTGCTTTGCTACTTCAGGACAGAGTATTGAATCCATTCAGCCTTCTTGTTAATTAGGACTAAAGATCCAAATCTGAATTTTTTCACCTCTTTTTAGAAAAGTTACTATATGGTATGTAGGATGAAAAGATACCCTTATTTACTACAGTCTCCATTTTCTAATAATGTTGTAAGAGTCCTCTAACAGTTGCATCTATAAGCTGTGGCAAACTTGAACTTCATTTTCTCCCATTCCTTTTTCAAAAAGTAACATTTTTGTGGGTTTCTTTTTAAAATGTAGTATACAAATTAGTATGAGACTTAATTTAACAAAAATTACATGCTTGCTTAAAATTTACTCTATTAGTGATATGAAAATGTGAGATTATTGCAGAATACTATAGAATTAATAGCCTCTTCATTCTGCTGCTTCCAATTCTAAAGCCACTGCAAGGTTTAGCAGAGAACAAGAAAGTCTCCTATTTCATAGATTTTAATAAAGCTTCTAATTAATTGGCATCTTAATTATCTAGAAGGCATGGATCTTGATATTCTATCACAGCTGGTTATTACAATTTCATTTCATTTTAGTATCTCCCAGAGGATGGATGGGAAAAGAACTAAGCTTAAAGCTCATTGGCCTGCTTTATGATTTTATAGCATTAGTGAAACTTTTTTACTATTTATTTTTTAGTTTTAGGTGGATACAATATCTTTATTTTTTATGTGGTGCTAAGGATCAAACCCAGTGCCACATGTGCTAGGCAGGCACTCTACCACTTGAGCCACAACCCCAGCCCCAATTTGAAACTTTTTGTAAACTGATAAAAGTATGGTTTGACTAAAGTTAATGTCTATTTTCTGTTATTACAAATAACTGAAAGTTTATTGGATATATCAGGCATTTTAAAATTTGTATTTGTGTACCTCTGCTAGTTTTGAGGACTGGAAAAATTCCTAGAATAACCAAATATACCAGGTCCTCTTTTCCCTATGTCAAATGAGAGTGGGTATGCCAGAGAGGTTTAAAGAAACATTGGACACTAGCACAAGATGCTCTAAATGTTGATATCTGAACAGACTATTGAATTTTTTTATATGTGCTTAAACTTGTTAGCCTATTATTAATCCTATTAGCTTATCTCTTGGCAGAAACAAGATACTTTTAACATTTTAAAAGTATGTAGATGTTTCTTTGCTTTTGATATACTTGTAGAGTGACAATTTCAAGTATAAAATTGTTGAAGCAGAAGACAAAAATCAACTTCTGTTTTGCCTCTTAAAATTCTGATTGGGAAGCCCAGTGAAATAGTTTTCCCCTGACTTGCTATTTCAATCACTAAAATAAATTAGATTTATCCCACGTAGTAGGTATTTGATTTATGTGTGTTGAATGAATGAATAAGCTAAGGTTTTGGTAACTGAAAGGTGTGAAGTTTTCTTAGTTATGAGCAATAAGATTGACAGCTCAGCCTTTGAGTGTTGAGTTTTGAATATATTTTCACAAATTCCTCAGTTTAAAAATTTCTCCCTTTCTACTAATATTGCTTTCTGCTTAGCTTTTTTATTCTTAGCTTCTGACCTTATAGGACACAAACAACCGAATTAAACCTAATGAAACAAGTTAGCCAGTATTTCCCTGATAACCAGTGAGAAAATAAGGTTAGATACCCTGACTCATTTTAGTGATTTTAAGGTATTGAATGATATTTAGACATTCCTTATTTTGAAAAATTACTAGTAATGAAACCATTTGAAATTGTGAGACAGAAATTCATCTTTCAGTTTTCAGGATATGTGAGAATTTCTCCCTTTGTTCATCAAATTGTCGTACTATATATAAAAAGTAACTACATTTTTATGACTCACGGTCATTATGATCATAGTGAGCATTAATTTTAATATTGTGTATATTAAAATGTTATATTGTGTTTGTAACATTAAATATCCCTGGAAATTTGTGTTTTTTTAAATTCCGTTCAGTCTAATTTTGTTGGCAGTTGCTTCTTACTGCAGTCATTATACCTACTGATTCTTGTGTTTCACCATCATTTATTTAAGTACATCCATATTTGATGTACTTCCACGACTATATTTTCCTCCATTATAACATTGTTAACCATGTTTATGGTACTCATTTTCTTCTGCCTTTCCAAAAATTGAACTTCTTAAGGATTGTTTCTTACCTAAATATTCCTCATTGTTCAGTGACACTCTTAAATGATGACTAGCCAGATAGATGAATAAATGAATGAAATGATGTGGAATGGAGTGAAATGGAATGGAATAAAATTAATGAAAAAATAGTGTTTTATGATATAAGCAAATTTTTACAGAGTCCTGTGTTGGCAGACATGGTGGTGCGTGCCTGTAAGTATTCAGGAATCTAAGACAGGAGGATCACAAGTTCAAGGCCTATTAGGTATCTTAGGCCCTGTCTCAAAGAAAGGTGGGGGCTGGGAATGTAGTTCAGTAGTAGAGTGTCCCTGAGATAAAATCTTCAGTATCGTAAGGAAAAAAGAAAAAAGAGTATATGGTATATAATCTAGGTAATAGATTATATTACATACTCATTGTGAATTCTCATAGTCCTTTTGTATTTATTTATTTTTTGGTACTCTTTTGGTTTTGTTTTCTTTTTCACTATCTAAATCTTGATTATGTTTTAAATAGATAAGATTTTACTATGTAAAATCATTTTAAAATTTTAAAATCATTTTGAAACTCATTTTAACTTAGTTTAAAATATTTCTTATAGTCTCCCTTTCCTGGTGATGATGAAGAGGAGGTTTTTGACAGTATTGTAAATGATGAAGTAAGGTATCCAAGGTTCTTATCTACAGAAGCTATTTCCATAATGAGAAGGGTAAGAATTAAATTAAGAGTATGAGTATTTTTAACTGCTTAAGTTTTTTTATGTTGAAGGAAATTTCCCAGTTGATTTTTAGAAGTTGTGTTATTTAGTTTGTAGATGTTGCATGGTTTAGACAAATACAAATAAAAATTATCTAAATCTCTGAAAGTTATGAGAATCCTTATCAATAAATGTATTTTAATTTTTTATTTTATGTTGTGTTAGCTGTTAAGAAGAAATCCTGAGCGTCGCCTTGGAGCTGGGGAGAAAGACGCAGAGGATGTAAAGAAGCACCCGTTTTTCCGGGTAAGTATGAAAGTTCAAAAATGTTTATGAAACTAGAGTAATTAGGAATAGGAAACTAAATTGGTCATTTTATATTTTGTGATCCAGCTAATTGATTGGATTGCTCTGATGGACAAAAAAGTAAAGCCACCATTTGTACCTACTATCAGAGGACGGGAGGATGTTAGTAATTTTGATGATGAATTTACCTCAGAAGCACCTATTCTGACTCCGCCTCGAGAACCAAGGATACTTTCAGAAGAGGAGCAAGAAATGTTCAGAGATTTTGACTACATTGCTGATTGGTGTTAAGTTACTAGACACTGTGAAACCAAGCAGACTGACTCACAAGAAGACCTCTTAAAAATAGCAACCCTTCATTTGCTCTCTGTGCCACCAATAGCTTCTGAGTTTTTTTAAAAAATACATGAAGATTTGTTTAAAAGTGCTATTTTAATACCTTCTTGAAAAGTGGCCTCTCACTGTTTTTCAACAAATCTGAGCACTGGAACCAGTTTCACGGAGTTTAGGCTGAATGAACCTTGGCCATGAAAATCCATCACAGATGAATACTTTTGGATCAATAATCTATTTTAAAAAAAAGAAAGAAAGAAAAAGAACCACTCTTTTATAGTCACTATCTTTGCCCTGTGTCTGCCTTAAGTAGAAAGAAGATTGATCACTTAACTGTTTTACAAGAAGGAAAGAGTAGGGCTTGGAATGCTATTACCATTCACATAAAGCATGATTCTGTTTGACTAAGGCAACTGCTCTTATTTTTTAAAAAAAGAAATTATTATAATAACAAAAACTGTAATGGTAGTTTGTATACCCTTGGTGGCTTGATTTTTGAAAACAATGAATTGATGGCTTCTTTTGTAAATTTTCTATATTTATCATGAGAAAAAATTTTATTGCCTTATCTTTACCAACCATGTAACAGAACCTCATAGCTTTCCAACAGAGCTACTTGCCAAACAGTTTTTTATTAAACAATGCTAAAGAAATGGGAACATCGGCATTTACTTAAAATATTAAGAATGGAGACTTTTAATCACCCTGAACCAAGATACTGTATTACCTTCATGCATTCCCAAATAGACATCCATTATGTTTATGTTCAGTCATATCTTCTTCCAGAATCAGTGAACTGATTACCCCTTTTTTGAAACGCATTCTACATTTATCGACGTAGCTAACTTTGTTCTTGTGTCTGCTGTAGAAGGGAACTATATCTTTGTTAAACCTTAGGGATTATCATTGTATACATGCTGTGAACATGTATATGTGCAAGTTGTAATGTATTCTGTGTTGTAGGCTTATTATTTAATTTCACCACTTCATCACTTTTGTACAGTGGCCAAGCAGACACCTCAGATTCCAGCATTTACATTAAGTGCATTTGTACATTTTAGGCCACTGAATCCAGATTTTTATATTGGCAGTTACTGAGGGCAAAAGCAATATATTGTAACAGAATGTATAAATATTTTTGATAAAACAGTCTATATTTTATAAAAAAGTTATTATAACACTAAAGCTGTACCTCAAAAGTCTCAAAAATAATTTGATCAAATGCTTTTTACAACTCTTCAGAGGATCCGTTTGTGGCTTTTTATATCTTATGGTATGTCTTTTTGCAAATCATGACTTTGAACTTACATGAAGTTTGGGGTTTTTTTATTTTGTTTTTAATTTTTTTTTTCTTCCTAGCTCATTACTTCATTGTTTTTCCTTAGTTCAACAGCAACATCTTTGATCCTGTACTTAGCATGTTAGGGTCATTATACCTCAGGAATAGCAAGTTTTTAACTAACCATACTGAATTAGCCATTTAATCATAATGAGCTCATCTCTTAAGAATTGTTCAAGTTTAAATCTTGTGAGAAACATGAAAGTGTACTGAACTATGAAGAGTTGAGCTTAAAACAAGTATTTCAGCCTTAGTAGGCATGTTTTTATTATACTCTGAAAACAGTTAAAATTGTCCAGGAATAATTCTTATTACCTTCCAAATTATTACCCAAAATCTTTTGGGAAAAATCTTGTAAAAAAAGGAAAACCATGTTGTTTAAAGTTATTTTAAAATGCCAGTTAACTAGGAACTAAACATAATTGTCTGGCTTTAATTTAAACAGTATTAATACAACATTACAATAAAACACTAAATACTTTTGAGGTACAGTCTGCTCACCTTTGCTGGTTCTCAACTATGCATAGAAAGCAATGTCTAAAATGGGCTTATAGCATTAAAAACTGACAGCATTTTATAACTACACAGTGTACAGAAGAATTTTTTTAATTGAAGTCAATCACTAAAAAAAATTAGAGGGCAGGGTATATTCACACAATTAAGCTGAAGAAAGCACTAATTTTTTCTGTAGTTTTAAATATATATATATATATTTTAGATTTAAAATTTTTAAGAGTGTAAATATATTTTGCTATTACTGTATGTGTATGTGACTGCTCAAGCACTTTGTAAGGAAACTAAGATATTTTAGAATGGTACACTATGCATTCAGATGAATTGTGCCTTTATGTCATTCTAAGAAAAAAGTGTTTTGCAGTCATAAATTACCACAAATGCACAAATTAAAGTTTAAATAGAATGAAATTTGTAACTTTGGTTTTAAGTATTATTTTCATTTAGAAATATCCTAGTGATTAAAATATGCATGTTTTAATATATTCAAGCTCTCAAAAACTAATTTAAGTTGGCCTTCTTAAAGGTACTTTTGTTCTGGGGAAGGCTAAAACCATGCAAATTCACAGCAAATTTTCTACTTCACCTGGGATAATGGGGAAATTTTGAATTGTATTCTTGTGAAATCATTACCATCTACCATTCAGTGGGTATTTATGGAAAGCCCACTGGCTGTCCACTGATGATAGGAAGATGGAAGGAAATAAGGCAACAAAGTATTCAAAATAAAGAGCAGCAGGTATTAATATTATAAAACAAGCAGTGGCATTCTATGTACTTTTCTCTTGTTTGGGTTTAATTTAATTTGGGACCTGACTTTTCAGAAGATAGGCATATGAATAAACAGAATACTAATCTGAGTAAAACAGAATACTAGTCTTTTTAAGGTCACCTTATTCAAAATTTATAAATGGAATACTTTAGAAATATTAAAGGATCCATGTTCTTCCTGTATAAAAAGTGAGGACATAATTGGGAATTTGCTATTGTATGTTAAGTTGGTAAAAGTAGCCTTATAAATTAAAATGTAACAATTTTTGCAGGTACTGTTCATCTTTCCAGAGCAATGAAAGTTGGATTAAGAGAATCCTAAAGAAGCAAATGCCAATCCATGGATTATATTAATTTTAGAATTCATACTTCTCTTCCAGTCAACTTTATACATATATTATTTCTTGAAGATACTAGCTTTATATATTAGTATGATGGATAGAGACTTTAAAATCATTGTGAGAAATAAGTAAATACCATATAGACTAATATAAAATTAGAGGTATTTAGATAATTTCTAAACCTGTGAAAATTCTTGCTTAATTTTATATTTCTAGTATCATAACTAAGTAGAATTTCTACTTAGTCCTTCTCCAATACTTCTACTTTAATAAGATTTATAATTTGAGGCATTGCAGGTCTCATTGAAGGTAAGCATGGTCTCTGTCAACCCTTTGCCGCACAACAAGCAAACATCCTTAATCAGGGGTCTGGACACACTATAGCTCAGCACCCAAAATTTAAGGTGAGAGTGCCCAAGCAAACAATTTAGAAACACTGAGAGGTTGGGGCTAGGAGCTGCTCAAGTCAAAACAGGAGACCAAAGCAGCAGGAAATTGGAGACGACAGTAGACAGAATGGCATGGAGCTAGTTTTAGAAATGTAGGCACTTGGAAGAAGTAGGATTACCAAGGATGGATTTCTATAGCAACAAATCTTGCAGTAGCAACAGAACTTCTATTCTGTGCTAAAATAAAATATGATAATAAAATGTTTGTATACTTAAAATTATTACCAGTATCAACCTGTAGAAAGAAATTTAGAAATGTGTGAAATCCAAAACTGGAAAATGTTACTGTTCAAGTTAAACAGTAGTTAAGAGAGCTAAAGAGATAACTAGAGAATTGGAAGATATATCTAAAAACTCAATCTCAAAAAGATAAAGAGATGGGAATATAAAATGGAGATTAAGAAATCTGAAAGGTGGAATAGAAATCCAGGAGAAAAGAATCTTTAGACAATATGTTGGCGAATTTCTCCAAAATTATGAAAAATGTCCAAATACGGTATTTTCCAAACAGAATAATTACAAACAAATTTATGCATAGAATCATTGTAGTGAAATTAGACTCCCAAAGACAACATTTTGAAATTACTCAAGAGAAAAAAAAGCTAATTGTTTATAAAGGGAAAATTAATAGCTAACTTCTCAACAGCGACAATGCAAGCAGCAGAAGATTATCTTAAACATATTAGAAAGTAAATATCAATCTAGAATTATGTAGAAATTAAGATTGCTCCTTAAGAATGAGAGCAAATAATATTTATTAAGGAAGATCTACTGTTGTGAATGTTACTGTAGTGAATTTATAAAGAATGTGCTTCAGGAAGAAGGTAAATAAATAATCCCAGGAGGACAACAGATTTTTTTTAAAGTTTATAAATATAAAATGATAAATACCTAAGAAAATTTAAGTAAATAAAGGGATTGTTGGGTTTTGTTTAAAGTCTACATGTTCTAAACAGCAGTTAAAAAAATAGAATTAGATCTAAAGCAGTCTGTAGATTTTATTGTTGGTATGTCAAGGTGACAATATTAGGCTTATTTACGCATATTAATTGTAAACTAAAAACAAATAATTTCAAATAAATCACAATAAATGTAACTAGAGCAAACTCATTAGTTTAAAAGCAGCATTTATCAGATTAGATTTTAGAAATTGATACGAAAAACACTCAAGCTAAAGCTATATATAGTAACACCACCTAACATCAAGCAAAATAGGTTTTAGACCCACCACAAGAAAATAAATATCACCAAGAGTGGTGGATTTCTACATAGTGAATAAATATTAGATTCACCAAAAATGTAATTCTAAGTGTGTGGGTACCTAATTAAATAAGTCTCTAAATATATGAAGCAAGGATTTATGGAGATATTGAAGAAATTAACAAATATTTACCATAGTAGAATATTTCAATTCAGTTTCATTTTTGATAGGTTTAAATTTTTTAGTTTGTTTTTACAGTGCTAGAGGTTGAACCCAGGGCTTCGCACATATTAGGCAAGTACTTACTTGTCCACTGAACTACATGCCCAGCCCCTCATTAGCCCTTTTGAAATCAATAAATATATAGAATATTTGAACAAAACAGTAAGCTTGATCCAGTAGATATATATGAATTCTATATCCAGTAATTAAAAGAATTCCACATTTTTTACAAGCACACATAGAACACTTATAAAAATTAAGCCATAAGACAAATTACAAAATATAATTAAATTACATTGTCTAAGTGGTTAGAAAAAAAGATTTGTGTGTGTGTGTGCGCGCGCGTATGTGTATGTATGTATAAATACATATATATGTATAGTTTTTATATTTGAAATGTTTGAAAAAATGGGGAGCTGGGTGGAAGCTCAATGGTAGAGCACTTACCTGGCATGTGTGAGGCACTGGGTTCAATTAAGCAATGCTTAAAGATAATAAAGTCCATTGACAACTAAAAAAAAAAAAAAATTAAATAGTGATGAATCAAAGGAAGAAATCATAGTAGCAATTAAATATTAAGAACTGAGGGGGCTTGGGGATGTGGATCAAGTGGTAGCGTGCTTGCCTGGCATGCGTGTGGCCCGGGTTCGATCCTCAGCACCACATACAAAGATGTTGTGTCCACCGATAATTAAAAAATAAATATTGAACTTGGGAAGATGGCGGCGAGGGGAGTGCATTGCCCCCGTGTGCTGCTTCACTGTGTGGGAGTATGACAAGTCAGGACGGCTAAAGGCTATCTTGTTAGGAATTTCCAGCAATAGTGGGGTGCTCCGGAACCTGGAGGAAGGATTTCCATCGCACAAGGATCGGCTACGGGGACTCAAACGCGAGAGGTTTGTCGCACGGAGGGTAACACTGCTTATTCAGCAAATCGCCCCGCCGCTAGAGTCTGCAGCGCGCGCTGGGAAACGAGGAGATAGCGACGCAGGGATACAGCGCTACAGTTTCTGCCAGCCGTGCAAGCACCGTACTCAGGGCTGAATTCTGGGTTCGAGACGGGGGAAGGAAGCGGTCCATCTCGGTTCTCCACACCGGTCAGACCACAGAGGAGGCCAGCAGCCACCATGTTGGAAAGCTGACGTCACCATCCCTGTTTTCGACTGACCGCAGCTCATTCAGCCATAGAACAGGTAATTTCAGGCTGCCATTCACCTGCGGCTTGCAGACAGATTGCTCGGGCTCAGTGCCTGGGTGTTTCTTAGAACCTGATCTTATCGGAGCGAACACCGAGCGCGGGGCGGCCGAGTTCCGGCTCCCGGAACCGCCCTGGCCCAGGGCTGGGGAGCCTGGGGAGGCTGCTTCTTGGACCCTGCTCCTATCAGAGCATACACCAAGCACTAAGCAGCCGAATTCCGGCTCCCAGAACTGAGCCCGCGGGGACTGCTTCTTGGAGCCTACTCTTGTCGGAGCTTACACCGAGCACGGAGCGGCCGAGTTCCGGCTCCCGGAACTTCCAGGGCCCAGGGCTAGGAGCCCGCGGAAACTGCTTCTCGGTCCGGGTCCTGCTGAGGGCCGGTCAGGACTCACCCGTTGCTTTGGTTGCCCGGCAAGGGGAACGAAATGCTGCCATTCGCATAGGATACCAACATGGCAGAGATCTGATGTCATCAGAAAGCGGCGGAGGAGAGAACTTCATCAATACCAGCGGTGACAGAAACAGTTGGTCTCCTGGTAGGGGGGGTGAGGCACAGACACCCGAGTCTCCTCAATTTGTCATCGAGCCAGAGGGGAGGAGCCGGGCCGCCGCCAGCGCCCAGAGCAGGCCCAGCGGCTCGCCAGCGTGGTGACCGCGTGACCCCAATTGGAGAGGGGGCGGAGCGGAGCCGCCACCCGCACCCGCAAGGTGGGCAGACCCGCGACCCAGTGGTACATGGGCGTGGTAGGAGGGACAGGGCAGAGCCGCCGCCCGCGCTTGCAAGGTAAACAGACCTGTGACTGGCGGGTCAGGCCCAGTGGCCTGCCAGTGTGGTACACACGTCACCCCAACTGGAGTAGGGGCAGAGCAGATCCTTCTCCCACGCCCGGATCAGGCCCTGCCGGTGTGGTGGCCACGTGACCCCAATTGGAGTAGGGGCGGAGCGGAACCGCCACCCGTGCCTGCAGGGTGAGCAGACCTGTGACCAACCTGCAGATCAGGCCCAGGGGTCCGCAGGCGTGGTAGGAGGGGCAGGGCAGATCCGCCGCCCGCGCCTCCAAGGTAGGCAGACCTGCGTCAGACCGGCGGATCAGGCCCAGGAGCCTGCCGGCGTGGTACACACACCACCCTAATTGGAGATGGGGCAGAGCAGAGTCACCGCCCGTGCCAGGAACAGGCCCAGCGACCTGCAGGCGGGGTAGTCACGACACCCCAATTGGAGTAGGGGCAGAGCAGAGCCACCACCCGTGCCCGAAATGTGGGCAGATCTGCGACCGACCAGCGGGACAGGCCCAGTGGCCTGCCGGTACGACAGACACGTCACCCCATTTGGAGTAGGGGCAGAGTAGAGCCACCGCCCGCGCCTGCAGGGTAGGCAAACCTGCAACCGACCAGCGGATCAGGCCCGGTGGCCTGCCGGCGTGGTACGCTCGTCACCCCAATTGGAGTAGGGGCAGAACAGAGCCGCCGCCAGCGCCCAGAACAGGCCCAGTGACCTGCCGGCGTGGTAGCCACGACACCCCAATTGAAATAAGGAGAGAGCAGAGCCGCCGCCCGCGCCTGAAGGAAAGATA